TGGTGCTGCAAATGCATTACAGGTATTTCCATACATTGATCCCCTCAGCCCTTGGGACAATTGGACAAGGTCCGAAGTAGCAGGACTGCCTGGGATGACCTCCTCAGGTCTGAGAATTCTCATTCATTGAACCCAATGTGTCACATAAAGAGAATTTTCCATGGACAGCATAACATGAAAAAGATTGGCAAATAGTACTCAAATGTTTCTTCCAATTCTAACAGCCCAAATTCCCCTCTTGGTAGTCGTCTGACTTCAGACAAATTACTTAGCTTTCTGAGTTTCAATATCCTCGTGCATTTAAGTAAGATGTACTGAAAACTCTGTTTCGTTTGATGAAATCTATGATTTTTCAAGTCTGAATTTGGACAAAGGAAGATGAAGACTAAGGAGAAGTACAAAACTCTAAGATGGTTGCTTCTTTGGGGATCTTTAACACTATGTGTGTGGCAGAAATTATTGTTAGACCCAGTATAGAGGACTGGAGCTACAGCTCAGTAACACTGGGTATATAACACAGAGTCTGAATAGAAGCTCTGTACTCATGGGCTTCTGAGTATGGACCGTAACATTGATTGGCAGTTGTCCATGTCCATTGAAGACAATGGAAGAGGCCCAGACTCAGTTTACCACAGCAAGAGAAAGTACCATCAGTACCTTGATTTGTCTTTTTTGATGTGCAAAATTATGCCCATAAGTTACATTCTCATAAATTGAACCTAATTTTACCATTGATATGTATACACATTTAGTAGGCTTTACTTTCATTTTAGATCAATCACTAATTGGTTGAAGCTTCTATGTATTCTCATCCTGTAACTTCATTTTATTAAACTGTCAATAATTTGCAAACAACTAAAGGATTAGGAGAGCTGTGACATAAAATAAGTGACTATTTTAAATAAACAAATGAAAATCTCCCATTCAACAAAAATATATTGAACATCTACTATTGTTCCATTGTTAGAACACTAACATTGTTCTACTGCTATTGAATAAGACAGAAGGAACCAGTTCTCACTGAGGTTATGTTCTAATGGGAGAAAAAGGGAGTTAAAAGCTGTATTATGTCAGGTAGTGGTAAGTACTAAAAAGATACATGAGTGAGAGGTACTGTTTGACAGTCCTGAATGAAATGACTAAGCAAGCAATGTGACTACCAATTTTATTTATTAGACTTAATTAAGGTGGGAGCCACCTCTATGATAAGGGGGCCTTTCCTTTCAGTGATGAGCTTTGAACACTCTAAGAAGTTATGGAATGTGGAAGAATGCCTGCCTCTCATACTTTCCTCAGCAATATAAATGATAGGAAATAAATCCTTTATTAATGAAATCTATATAAATCCAAAGTGGTGAACATGGGCAACTTTGTCTTACTCCTGATCTTAGAGAAAAAGCTTTCAGCTTTTCACTATTGAATGATGTTAGCAGTGAGCTTATCAAAAACAGCCTTTACATATATTTTATAGACATTCATGTTCCTCTTCTACAAACATTGTTGAAAGTTTTTATCGCAAATAGATGTTGAATTTTGTCAAGTGTTTTAGCATCTATGATCATATGATTTTTATCTTTAGCTTTTTAATGTGGTCTATCACATTAATTGGCAGATGTTGAAACATCTTTGCATCCCTGGACTAAACCCCGCTTCATCATGGTATATGATCCTTTGAATGTACTGTTGAATTCAATTTGCTAATAGTTTGCTGAAGAATTTTGCTTCTAGGTTCATCAGGAATATTGGCTTGCCTGTAATTTTCTTTTCTTGTAATGTCCTTGTCTGGTTTTGATTTCAGGGTAATGCTGGCCTCATAAAATGAGTTTGGAAATTTTCCCTCCTCTTCTATTTTTAGAAGAATTTGAGAAAGATGTGTTTTAATTCTGTAAATGTTTGGTAGAATTCACCAGTGAAGCCACCTGATACTGGAATTTTTTGGGTAGAGGTTTCTGGATTACTGATTCAGTCTCTCTACCAGTAATTGGGTCTCTTCAGATTTTTCTATTTCTTCATAATTCATCCTTGGTAGGTTATATGTTTCTAGGAATTTATCCATCTCTTCTGTGTTATCCAATTTTTTGGTGTATAATTGTTCTTAACAGTCTCATGTGATCCTTTGAGTAGTATCAGCTGTAATATCTCTTCTCACTTCTGATTTTATGTCTTCTTTTTTTTTTTTGGTTGGTCTAGTTAATAATTTATCTGTTTTTTTTAATCTGTAGGAAAAAACAGGTTTAGTTTAATTGATCTTTTCTGTTATCTTTTTAGTCTCTATGTGACTTATTTGTACTCTGATCTGTTACTTCCTTCCTTCAACTAATTTTGGACTTAGATTGTTCTTTTTCTAGTTCCTTGAGATGTTGTTAGGTTGTTCATTTAAGATCTTTATCTTTTTTCAGGGTAGGCATTTATAGCTATGAACTACCCTCTTAGTACTGCTTTCCTGTATCCCATATGTTTTGGTATTTGTATTTCCATTTTAATTTGTCTCAAGATATTTCTTAAAAATTTCTCCTTTTGACTGGTTGTTCAGGAACATGTTGTTTAATCTCTATATACTTGTGAACTTTCCAATTTCCTCCTTGTAATTGATTTTTAGTTTCATACAATTGTGTTTGGAAAAGATGTATGATATGACTTCAGTCTTCTTAAGATCATTAAGATTTGTTTTGTGGCCTAACATCTGATCTATCCTGGAGAATATCCATGTGCACTTGAGAAGAATGTATATTCTGCTGCTATAGGGTGGAATGTTCTGTATATGTCTGTTAGGTCCACTTGGTCTAACTTGTAAGTGCAATGTTTCCATGTTGATTTTCTCTGGATGGCCTATCCATTGTTGGAAGGGCTACTGAATTCCCATTCTATTACTGTATTGCTATCTATTTCTCCCTTCAGATCTGTTAATATTTGCTTATATATTTAAGTGTTCCTATGTTGGGTGTGTAAATATTGACAAATGCTTTATCTTCTTGATGAATTGATACCTTTATCATCATATGATGACCTTTGTCTCTTGCTAAAGTCTTTGACTTCAGTGTATTTTGTCTGATGTAAGTATAGCTACCCCTGCTTTCTTTTGGTTTCCATTTGCATGGAATCATTCTCCATCTTTTCACTTTTGGTATATGTGTCCTTACAGCTGAACTGGTTTTCTATAGGCAGCATATAGTTGGGTCTTGTTTTTTAAATCCACTTAACCATCCATGTCTTTTGATTGGCTATCTAGTCAATTAGAAATGAGATCAAGCAACTATTCTTCAAGTTGCAAGTGGGATTTGGGATAGAGAACATTGTTGACAAATACCCTGTACTTTAATTAAAGTTTAATATTTCTGATACAAAGGAAATAAATGGTATGTATTATTATAAACTTTCCTGCTTAGATAAATAAAGCCACACAGTGGGAATTTTAAAATACTTTGTTGGAGCCACGAATTATTAGTCATTCCTTTTCTTTTGTTTTGTTGGCAATGTTTGGCATGTGGCCCTTCTCTCTCTCTTAGTGTCTAGAGTTAAATGAGGGGATTCTATAGTCCCAAATTAGGCATGGCTTCTTATTTATTTATTTTGAATTCCTTTATTCTTATGTAGCTCTATCACATGTACTCCATGGATTTGGGGGGAAGGTTAGACTGGGTACAGCACTATCCCAAAGAGCAGAATTGGGCCGAGGAGAAAGTTGACCTAAACTAGCCTTAGGAACACTCAGGAACTGAATGTTTCTTAAAAGAACAACCAATAGACAAACTATGGTTATTCAGACTTTAGTGTCTGCTAGACACTTTCTCAAAAAAAAAAAAGAAAAAGAAAAGAAAAGCCTGACTCTTCAAGGAAAACAACTGACAGTATTTGTTACCAATGATAAAATTTAAGCTTTCAAATGAAAATCAGAGTTTTGGAAAACTTGTATTTGTCATCGGGAGCTTGACAGCTTTCCAATATTTAAAGACTTCTCTGATGATGAGATTTGTGGTGATATTAATGAAGATGATATTTTGATATTATATAATGAAAAGTGTCAAAGTGTAGAAGAATAATTTATTGATCCCATATTTTCCAGGTGATCAATTCATGATGTTACAAAATCATGGAGGGTAAGAAGATCCATTCAAAGTACAATATAGAATGCTGGATTTTATGTAACAGAGTGTGAAAAGTTCATCGGTATGGTTTCAGATTCCACACTATAACTAACCTGTAATAAACTGCATTTGTTGAGTTCAGGAGAATATCCACAGAATCACAACGGAATGCAGAAGCAAACACATGAATGTGGCTCTCTCCTGCTGAGCCATATATTAGAGATTTACAAAAATTCAGAGTGATGCCTCTCTTCTTGCTTAATTTGTTTCAGAACATATAGTTATTATCATAAAAATGTTATTTACATGTAATGAGTTTATTGCTGTTATCTTTAATTGAAATGATAAGTAAATTTAAATCTTCCCCATTTTAATTCCTAAAATAGTAGTTATCAATAGATGTAAGCCACATAAATAGGGGGACTTAGTCATTTTTAAGAGTGTAAGGGGTCCCAAGACCAAAAAGGTTGAGCTCTAGACCAACCTGCTGGCTTCACAAATGGGTAACTGAAGGCATGACAGGTGACTTGCTCATCTCCTGAGTGGCGATTGTGACTGGATCATATCTCTGTAAACCACTGTTCCAGTGTTTCCATTGTTAATTTGTTTCCCCTCTGACACTACTGCCATGACCACCTGTGTATAGATAAGCTGATCTCTCCGACGAGAAAGCTGGGTGTGAGTAGGTCATGGTGGAAGTCCGCTGAGATAGGGCTTCCCCACAGCCTAAGAATGCGAGGCCAGGTGAGGGGGCAAAGGGTCTCTTTCAGAAGCCGGTGACTCCCTTTGGAGAGATGAATCCTGAGAGGAGATGAGGGGGTACAAGTGGAGGAAGAACATTTACCTATTTCAGATTTTATGCTTCTTGTTCTGAAATACCGTGAGATTTTCCTTATCCCTTGTCTTTCTCTCCAGGGAGTTTGCCCGTTGGAAAGTGAACAACTTGGCTCTGGAAAGGAAGGACTTCTTCAGTTTGCCATTGCCTCTTGCCCCGGAATTTATCCGGAACATCCGCCTCCTTGGAAGGAGACCTAACCTGCAACAGGTTACAGAAAACCTGATCAAAAAGTACGGCACTCATTTCTTACTGTCTGCCACACTTGGAGGTAAGCAACGTAGTGACCTTGCAAAGACTGGTTGCCAGATCATTGAAAACAGCTTTAAGACCCATTGAGTATAGCTTCAACAGTCTTCCTGGGTCTCGTTCTCGCTGGCCTATCATTGCCTGGAAAATATTTCTTTTCTGGTGCCTTTGAGAACAGTATGGTCTCTTGACGTCCAAATTCACCGTAGAACTTTGCTATTTGCTTATAAGCATTCTGCGGGACAGGGTGCCAAGTAAGGCTGGGGCCAGACAGGCGCCTACTAAGCACTTGCCAGCAGGGGGCGCTCCCATTTTCCTTTGACTGGTCCCTCTTACCCTCAGGCTTCTCCACGTCCAGTTGCTTGTTACGGCTACAGTTGTCAGACCCACAGGCAAAGAAGGAAATATGAAATATCTGTTGGTTCCCTGACCCCTCTTCCTCTCTATAAAGATTGGTAGCTGGCAAACCAATCCCAGTGATTCTGGGCTGGATGGGGATGAGGCTGGGAGTGGGGACAGTACAACCTGTGGCCGGGACCCAGGACAGAACCAAAAGCCTTAGCGACAATGAGTTTGCTCTGGGAAGAAGAAAGCAGGATTTATTATAACATTTAGCTTACTGTCTGAGGGGCCAAAAGGACCTTTCTAAGGGTTCGGGCCAGCTGCCGGCAGGTGGTAGGTGTTGCGTGTTTGGTGGGGCGTGAGGCAGAGCTTCCAGGCTTTTCACTCCTTCCGAGGGAGCAGAAATATTCATGGTGACTTCTCACAAACAACTGGGGAGAGGGAATTTTATCTCCCC